GTGCGTGTGTGTGTGTGTGTTAATTATACTGAATATATTTTGCTTACCTAGTTCACATACGTGATAATAACTCGTGCTGCATGTGACTGAGTACCAATCTGAATTCTGAGATCTTAGAATAGTGCAGTCTTTCGAATCATCGAATACAGAATCTTGTGACCAGGCTGTCAATCAAACAAGGCTAATTTTTTATGTGAATCAAAATCAAATTTATGTTAGTCATAAATATGTAAAGATACATTACATTAAAGATACTTACGTTGATAACCTTGCATTTGGGCTGAACCTGATTTCCAAACATAAGTTCCCTCAGTCGTTACGTCATCATAACCGATGTAAAAATAATGGTTGGAATATCCAGATAATGCTATAGCTGCCAAGACTATATTAAGTTCATATTGTGACGTAATAGACACCAACTCCATTCCCATTTCGTTGCATCTAGATTCAGAAGTCAAATAGTTTACCGAGTCGATGTCAACGTAATATCTCCGTTGTTCCCAAATAGCGCCATCAGCCGGATGCAAATCTAGTTAAAAAACGATTGATTAAGTATTTTAATGACTTTACTTTATATTGATACAATTTTAGAAATAAAGTCCTCGGTAAATAATGTAAGTAAAGCACATAATGGAATGTTATAAATATTATTATTGTCATACTGTAGGGCCTACATATTATGTTTCACATACTTTCTACTCAACAGAATTCAAAGTTTTTCATAAAGTACAAAAACATCATTAAGTAATAAACTATTTCAAATATTTTTTAATCATAAAACATTATTCAAATTATATTTATTAATTAAAATAGTAAATTATAATCATTCAACACTGTAAATTTTTACTCCGTTTTTCTATTTTTAAAATTTTAATGATAAACAATGTTGTTTTTGTTAAGTGTTTATTTAATCTCTGTCAATTAGTAATGGGATGCCCTCAAAAGTGATTAAGTTCACTCAGGGTACAGGGAGAGTGAAATTACACTATTGGTTTTTCTCCCCCAGGCATTGATTTGACTTTCTTGATTTTACTGTTTTTCTTATTGTTTATTGCTATTCGTTGTAATTGCTTACCAGAATAAATAAATGAAAATGTAATAATAATAATAATAATAATAATAATAATAATAATAATAATAATAATATTGCCATCATTATCGTTACAATTGTTTGATGCGTAATGAAAAACGATGTGCGTAATGTAGAACAAAATAGCCTAGTTACCCGCTTCGCAAATGCTCGCCCTAAATGCAGAGCAAGAAATATCGTTATTGCAATTGTTGGAGCTACGGAACTCTGTACAGTATTCACTTCCACCAGACGGTTCACCTGAGCACCAATCT